GGCCCCGCCGCGGCGGCGCCCGGAGGCCGCGCGGAGCCCGGGACGGAGGGGCAGCTGCGGAGGCCGCCGTGGGCCCGGGATGGAGGGGGCGACGGCGCGGGCCCCCCTAACGCCCCTTCGCCCCCGTCTCCCTCCCTCTCCCTTTGTGCCAGGGGCAGCAGGATGGGAACCAGCAAGCGGCGCAGCCCGAGAAGGTCGGCTGGGTGCGGAAATTCTGCGGGAAAGGCATTTTTCGAGAAATCTGGAAAAACCGCTACGTGGTGCTGAAGGGGGATCAGCTCTACATCTCGGAGAAGGAGGTAGGCGCCGCTTCCTCGCCCTTCCCCAGCCCCGAGCGGCCTCCCCGCCGGCTGCCTCCACATCTGAAGAGCAGGGCGCAGTGCCCCAGCAGCTCTCAGCGGCCCCTCTCCCGCTGCCCGTGGCCGCCCATCGCTGCGGAGCGGCCGGGCCCGGCTTGCCGGGTGCCTCTCCCACACGGCTCTGCCTGGGAGATGTTTTCCGAGCGCTGGGAAGGATCTGCTCAGCGGGGGCATGGTGGTGCTGATTCCCCCTGGACCTGGACCCGTCCGTCACAGAGCCGGACCATGCTTGTTTTCCACGATTGCACTGCTCCCTTTGGAAGTAACTGTGCTCTCCATATGGGAATTGCGCCGTGTCCCGGTCCCTAATGTTCCAGCTCGGTTTGTTTTCCCCATGACCCGAGAGAGGAGCAGGGGAGGTTCTGCCTGGATTCAGCACTGGGCTGAAGAAGGCGCCGCGGCCTCCGGCCAGCGCTGCCAGTTGCCRGAGCGGTTGCGTTAGCTGGATGCGACCGTGGGGTGCTCGGGCTGCCCTCGTGCAGCCTCCGCCGGCCGCTCTGTCCGGATAAACCCATGAGCGGCAGCGCCCGGGCAGGCCAGAGCTCATCCCGCCGGGATGCAGCTCCAGAGGGTTTCCTTGCAGCAGGGCGCGGGCTGCGCGGTGCCAAGGGCGCCGTGTTCCAGGTGCTGCTGAGCACGCGGCTGCGGGCTCGGCGGCAGCGGGCGGGCAGCAGGACGGGCTGCGGGTTTGCCCGGCATCGGGGCAGCTCGCGGCGCTGACGGGTCGGGCAGGTCGCACGCTCGGGCCACGGGGCCTTTGGGAAAGACACGATGACTCCAGGGCCCCTCTCGTSCTGTGACGAGGAAACTGCATGTGTGACCGCCCGGCTCCGCGTGCCGGTGGAGGCTGGCGGGGCGGCCGCGCGGGCGGCCCCGCTCTGCCCACGTCCTCGTGGGGCAACGGGGGCGGGAGCTGCCGCCCTGGCCGGGGCTGCGCGCGGCTCTGAGCGGCCACAAGCAACAGGCGGCAGCGGCCGCCCGTGCCTCCGCGGCGGGACTGCGGCTGTGCGCGTCCTGCAGCGCCTGCGGCATCCCAGCTCGCGCGTCCCGCCGCAGGACGCGGGGCGCCTGCGCGGGGCGGCCGCTGTCTCGACGCCTTGCTGAGACTYTCAGGTTAAAGGGCTTCGTCTTTTAGCACTCTTTGGTGGCACCTGCGCCCTTGTTGCGAGCAGAGCCGGGTCTTCACATGCCAGAGACTCTGGGCAAGGCCCCGCTGGCACCCGGGCCCTTCCGACTGTTCCCGGAGCCCAAGTTTCCCTTCTGCACATTCGTGCCTCTCGAGCAGCTGCCCGCGGCGCCCGCAGACGGCCTCCCAAAGTGCCACTTGTCACACAGAGGGAGACGGCGCTGCCTTTGTGTTTTCACAGAGAGATTAGAAGCAGGGGGGCAATGGAGCCGCTGCGGGGCTCCGTCGTGCGGGAGGCTCTTGGCCTCTCGAATCACTGCCGGGTGGGGCGGATGCAGCAGAGCCAGGATGAAAGAGCGGCAGCCGGAGCGATGGGAAGAGCAGAGTGTGGTGGCAACAGCCCCTGGACGGGAGGAGCCTGAGCCCGGCTCCTCAGCACGATGGGGCAGACCCGGAGCTGTCTGTCGCAGCGACAGATCAAAGCCATTCCCGGCTCTAAATTGGCTTCGCTTCATCAAAGGCAGCGGAGCGGTGTGGGTTTAGCGGATGCGGGAGCGAGGCCTTGTTGCTTACGTGCTAACGCGTGTATTAACCTTGATGTTCCCTGTCAGCTCCTCTTAAGCTCAGCCGCTGCTCCCGAAGGGGAGGCCGCTTGTCCGGCGGCTAAACCGGCGCTGCCGGCCTCTCGCTGGCGGCACAGGAGGGGTTAACGCCAGGATTGCCCGATCCGGCCCCRCGTCCTGCCGTGTGCCAACGACATGAATCCGATCGAGACATTTGTTTATCTTTGCCTGGATTTCTGCCTCTGGAATGCAGGGCTAGCGGGAAGGGAGGCGGCACGCCGCACGCTCCGGGGTCCCTCGGGAAAGATGTCACCTCAGGATAGGCAGTGACAGACCAGGAGAAACAGCCAGCAGCAGCCGGGCTGCTCTGAGCCTGGCGGCACTCGGATCTCTGCATAGGTTTCCGAAAGCTGAATTGCTGCAAGCAGAGGCAAATTACCAGAATCCCACCGGGATCCACACTGATGCCTCTGGGAATCCACACGCTCATTTAGTTGCCATCTAGGAGCCGGCTTGCAGGTCGGAGGCTCCAGACCTGGTTTATTCATTTTGCTTAGGAGGAAATGGGAACACCTGACTCGAGGCCCGGTTTTCTCCCTGATGATAAACAAGTCTGCAAGGAGGGGAGCAGACAGAGCRGCTGATCTAGCCCCAAAATGCAGACGGAGCTTCTGAGCTGTGTCCCTTCGTTAGGGCATCAGCCGCGCAGCCTGCCGGGCCGTTACCACCGCCTGGAGCCTCTTGTGCTTCCGACCGCGCACCGGGACGGCAGCGGGGTCCTGTGGCCGCCTCCCGCCACGGGCCTGACCCCGCCGCACGCCGGGCTCCGTGAACTCATGCAAAAATCCTCCGTGATTCCGCACGTGGTCAGCCGGCAAAGCAAGGCGCTGGGCACAGCAGCGCGCGGGGCGAGGAGCACCTTCGTCCTGTTATTTTTTGCGTATTTGCCGCTCGCTCTCGGCCATGCCACCCCTGTCCCCTCCTCCCTGCTGATTTCTGGTAATTGTTCCTCGCTTTGCAGCCCAGCTTTGTCACCGCTTTGCGCTTCGGAATAGCCGTCAGCCTAATGCAGACACAGCTGGGCTCCTACCACTTCCTGGCAGGAAGCGGCCGGGCCAGCYAGCGCCGGGCCTCTGGCCACGAGGTGTTAATGGGGAAGCTCGTGTTCCTCCCCGAAGCTCCGGCTCCGCTAGCACAAGAGCCCTTGAGAAGCGGCTGCTCCCGCTGCCCTCCGCCCTGCGGACATGCAGGACCTGGCCGAGCGCTCGCGCGCATCCAGCTCCTTGCACCTTTGGAAGGAAGGACAAAACGGGGGATCCCTGCTCCGAGGTCCTTCCACCCTGCGTCCAGGGCACGGTGCCGGGCTCTTGCTGTACTCGCCACGTTCCTTTCTCGAGTGGGTCCCCAGCCTGGCCACAGCTTTTAGCTGAGCGAGGCACAAGTTCCTTTGCCTTGCTGGACGGTTGAACTGCTCAGCTCAAGGAAGTGAAACTTTTAKCTGGGCCCAAGAGAGGAACACGGCGGCTGCTGCCGGCCCCCGCGACAGCCCCTGTTTGGATTTTCAGCTTTACTGAGCGTCTGTGGGTTTCTTGTTACAGGCTGTATGGCCCGGCTACGTTAGACTCAGAGCCTCGTGATTTTCTGTATGTTCCGCATTTGCTTTGACCGTGGCCCAGCTCGGCAAAAGGCAAATCCCTGTAAAACAAATCCCCGAGGAAAAGCGCAGTGTCAGCCCCCACCGTGCAAAGGAAGGGGCTTCAGCGCTGCCGCAGGTGGCAACTCGACAAGCGGGCAAGCGGTCACCGTCCCCGAGCAGGGGGCAGGTGGCTTCGGCCGCGCTCGGGCTCTCCGCCCCTATAGGGTCGCTATAGGGTCCTGCGGGAGCAGGTGCGGGACGAGGCGCGTGAGGAACGCGGGCGGGCAGTGAGCAGCAGCAGGTGCTGGGACTTGTCCCCATCATCCTTTTCATTCCGAGGCTCCGGGCAGAGTGAAGGCTGCGGGACCCTCCTGCCCTGTTGCACGGAGAAGCGCCCTTGCCGGCTCTGGAGGAGCCGGCACAGAGCTCAACGATTCTTTCTGCATGGCTCTAATCTCTGCAGATGTATAGGGGGGACCCTGTAGAGTTGTCACCCACCTCCTACTGATGCAGGTGACAGTGATTTGGGCTTTGCTGACACCAGGTTCCCGCAGGTTTGCGTCCAGTTTGGCTTTCCTTGCCAGACCGGGCTGCGTGACCGACCCCTCGGGCGTCATGGAGCTGCAAGCGCTGTCGGTGCCGCGATCCCTTCACTCCGCGCTGGCGTGACGAGCAATCTCAGCCGGTGATCAGTTACAGCCCGTTTCACCCTATGGCCTTGTTACACTGCCAGGGCCACCTACAAGAGGGAATCAATTCCGAGCGAGCCCACAGCTACCTTTCCCCCCAGGACTTCAGCCTATCCTTAGGTGCCTAAGTCACTTATGACCACATTCCTAATGGTATTCGGGTACCCACCCTTACAAAATACCTTTGAGCTGGACCTACGGACTTGGTAACTCGTGGTTCTTTTAATGCAGATAGATGCTTCTCCTTAACCAGCTGTGTCTTGTATAAGGGGGCAAGGCACGCGTGTGCCATGGCTTGGTGAGGGACGCGGGAGCATCGCGCTGGCACCAGCGGCTCTGTCTCCACGTGTGCTCATGTGGTCCAGAGACAGGTCTTAAGGCGAAAGCCCCGGTGCTCGATAATCCGAGGATTTTAGYGGAGTGGTGGCACCTCAAGGGCACTGGCTGCAGAGCCCTGCGGCTGCTCCACGAGCACCGTCGCCGCTCCCGCTCCCGGTGCRGGCGCCCGGGGATGCCCCGGTGACCTACATGAGCAGCCATCTGCAGCCAGGACTTGTCTCGGCTGCTGTGTCACAGCTGGGGGATCACCGGGGATCAGCTTTTCCCCGTGCAAACGAACAGGGCCGAGCGCAGCCAAGATTCTTGGAAAGAGGCGGATTGGAGGATGGTGCTGAGGAGAGAGAAAAGCCGATTAGGAGGACGCGGCGGGATGTGCAGACACGCGTGTGCACAGGAGACGTCCGCCTTTGCTCAGGGAGCTGCCCACGCACCGCGGCCTTTGCTCCGAGCCAAAACACGCAAGAGCTTCCAGGGCTCGAGACCAGGTTTGTTCTGTGCCTGCACCCTCGCTCTTGGAGACAGACCTGGGGGAGACAAGGAAGGAGAGGGAACTGCAGTCATTATATAAGGCCAGATCATCATTTTTTCTGCGTCTCTGGCTAGAAAGCTGGTTGCAGCATTTTGGTGAGACTCTTGCACCACGTGCTCTAGGTGTCCCTGCTTGAGCAGAGGGGTTGGACTAGATGATCCTTGTCCTTTCCAAGCTCAACCGTTCTGTGATTCTGGGAAATACTTTCAGTGCTCCCCACTTTCAAGTCCTTTTAAGAAATCCCAGATTTAAGAACTCAGCACTGTCTGCCTTTCTGCCACCTAAGTTAATCAGACTCCCCTGCAAATCCCAGCCCCTAATGACCCAGGCTGGAGGCAGATTAAGCACAGATTGACATGGATTTGAGCCTCTACAGTTCCGTCCTTAGTGGCTATTGGAAACCAAGTTCTCCCCCATCCCAGTTACCAACATTCCTCGTGTTTTCCATAGAAATAGTAGGGCTGCTGGGCCACAAGTGGGGTATGAGGAGAGACCGCTAAGGAGGGAGGAAAGGGAGCGAGAGACGGGCTGCGGGCTCTCCTCCCACCTCACCGCGTCCGTAATCAGGGACTGGATGTGCTGCATCCACCGCCCGGATCAGCTGGGAACACAGGTTCCCGTAATACCGGCAGCTTAAAAATAGCAAGTGCTAATCGTTATCCCTGGAACTTTGGTTGCGCTGTCTGCGGAAGGGCAAGAGCACGAACACGACTGACCCGTGTGCTCAGCGGCTGAACCCCGCGTCCTCGCCCGTCCCACGCGCTGCACGCCCGTGTCCTTTCCTCGCTGCTGCTGCAAATCCCTCTCGTTTGGAGGATCCATAAATACAGAGGAAAAACCCCATTCCCGTCGCGTGTCCGCCCAGCCGGGCCCAGCAGCCCTGCAGGTGGCAGAGGCTGTTAAGTGACTGGCCTGGCATTCCCAAGGGAACCTCTAGCAAAGCAGGGACTGATGGAGGAGATGGCGATTTTCAAGTTATCTTCCAAAATSTGTCGCCCGTCATTCCGGAAGGGACACGGGTCAGGGCTGCCTTGGAGACAGCGTCGGCTCCTCCTTCCCCAGCCTCAGCCGTGTCTCTTCCCAGCTAACAGCAGCTCTCCGGCACTGGTGCCCTCCGTGGAGGTCTGGCACAACCTTCAGTGAGCACATGAGACACCAGAGACTCCACCACGCGCCTGGTGTATTGAAACTCCCTATGCAGGCAGCCCGGAGCAGCAGCCCTGCCGCTGCCCGCAGCCCCGGTCTGACCTTTGCAAAGCTCTAATTTTGCTTCGTTTTGCAGGTTAAGGATGAGAAAAACATGCAGGAAATGTTTGACCTGAGCGACTACGAGAAATGCGAGGAGCTCAGGAAGTCCAAAAGCAGAAGTAAGAAGAACCACAGCAAATTCACCCTCGCGCACTCCAGGCAGCCTGGGAACACGGTATGCCCTGCCGCGCRCGTGCTGCTTTAGCCTGCATAATATTTCTTAATACACATGAAGGCCTTGATTGCAGTAACGAGGGCTGGACAGAGAAGCAGAGTTTCTACTGGGAGGGGATCCCGGCCCCTGGTGCAATAACTAATTTACTAAGAGCAAGTATTTAGTTTGCCCTGACTTCAGGACAGGGTAGCGGCACCTCTGTTGGGAGCAAGGATGGACAGTCCTCACGCTGCCCGAGGGCTGTATTTGACACCCAGGAGCAGGTTATCTCATTTACCTGCCTTTCCTGCCCTGCGCTTTGCTAAGAACCCTGTAACTCCACAGAAATGCAGAAAGGAGGAAGAGGGAAAATGGGAAGCAGCACCCAAGCACYCTGAGCAAGGAGGGCGATGCAGCAAAAGGCTGAGGAGGTCAAAACTATGGAGTGTTGGRTTCAAAAAACTAAGGAGCAGGGGCAGGGGCAGGCAGGGGCAGCATGAGGTCTCTGCATGTGTTTGGGCACCGGCACTGACCCGATTCCCTCTTTTGTAGGCACCGAACCTGATCTTCCTGGCAGTGAGTCCAGAAGAGAAAGAGTCCTGGATTAACGCGCTCAACTCAGCAATCACACGYGCTAAAAACCGCATCCTGGACGAGGTGAGCCCAGACTCCACTGCCTCAACTCCAGTCCTGGGCAAATATTTTAGACTGCAGGAAGTGGGAGCAGCCCCTGGCTCTGTCCCCTTGCTGATGGACACAGTCCCAGCAAGGAGCCTCCCTGTCGCGACCCGGCCTTGCTTTGCACAGGGAGGTTCCCGACAGTTTCCTGGGGCTTTTGCATCCTTCCTCTCCTGCCTCCACAYGGTTTGTTCTTGTTTACAAAGGAGATTGAAGTGATGGAACTGAATTAAGGAGTTCACTGAAACCCAACACAATCCTACGCTATCTTCAGAGCAACCTAATAGCTCAGTACTATCTGTCCAGCCCACGTCGGTCCATGTTGAGCTTGGCCACCCCTTCCTCTGTCAACCACTGTCTGCAAGAGACAGAGAACCGAGCTCTTACTTATCTTGTGCTCCTTTCCACCACTTTAGCGGAAGGAAGGGGTTACAGGACATTTAAATATTTCAGATCCTTTTTGATGTGCAAGGGTCGAACCAGAAACCTTTAATTCAGCCTTCTCACAGCTGTCAGCCCTTTTTGAAACTCAGAATAGAATTTTGAGACTAAAATGCACCTGTGTTTTTGTCATTACAAGTCAGGTGCTCCATTCAGTGAAGGAAAACCCCCAAACAATCCTGACTGTTTGTGAGGATCAGAGAGCGCAGGCAGCGGGACCCTGCGCGGTCGCACCTGGGGGAAGCTTCACAGCCCAAAGCAGCCCTGTGCCAGGGGAGTGCAGCGAGCTGGCACGCGGGGAAGACGCTGCCCTCACCATGCCAGCTCAGGGCCCCTCTGGATTGATCCCAACTCTCCTCCTGCTCAGCAAACACTTGGAATTTTGCTAACGGTGCAAAGCTATTTTCGCTCGCAAGGCTGAAATAATCCGCAGCAGCAAATGGCAAACTGTGAGTGCAGGATTCGCTGTTTGCAACCCAAACTTCTGCCCGCTTAGGGTTCCTGCTTGATGGTCTTCAAAGGATCCTGGTCCAAAGGCACGTGGGGAAGTTCACCCTCAGGCTCATGGCCAGGTCACAGGAGAAAGGGGAAGCTGGAGGAATAACCGCTCTGCTATGAGGAAGAGGAGCCATTCCTCGCAGCAGAGCAGGGCTCCCTGGCACTCACTGGCCTTTGTCCCCACTTCAGGTGACTGTYGAAGAGGACAGCTACCTTGCCCACCCCACACGGGACAGAGCGAAAATACAGCACTCCCGACGCCCCCCGACACGGGGCCACCTGATGGCTGTGGTAGGTACAAGGGATTTCAGACCCCTGATTGGGGCAAATTCCTTTTTATCTATTTAATTTCCAAGTAGGTAAGAAAATCTGGTGGTTTTGAGCCCTGGCCTGAACTGAGAATTGTCAGGGCTCTCCTGAGGCATCAGATCCCGCCCTGCGTTCTTGCAGACCGCTGCGTGAGGAACCCGTTTGTCGTCCCCGAGACCTCTTTCCCTGTGCTGAGAATAAACTGCTCCTGCAGCAGGAGCGCCCTGCAGCCGGGGCGCTGGGTGGTGGGTTAGCGTGGGGACGTGCCCACGGCCAGGCGGACCCCAGCCAGGGACACCGAACGGGCGCTGCAGGGCGTCTCTCACCAGGTGAGCCCTGCTCCTGGTCCCTGCTCGCCCCCAGGCGCGGCCGGTGCCCCAGGTTGGCCCAGGAGATGCTCGGGAGCCCGCGCAGCCCGTGACACACGGCTCTTTTTCCTGTCCCGCCAGGCATCTACCTCAACCTCCGACGGCATGCTGACGCTCGACCTGATCCAGGAGGAGGACGCCTCGCCGGAGGATCACAGCACTTGCGAAGGGAGCTTCCGTGTGGACCTCGATAAGTCCGTGGCTCATCTCACTGCTGGCCGGCACCGCTCGGATTCGGAGAAYGTCAAGTCGGAGAAAGGGCGGACGGGGAGTCTCCCGAGGCGGGAAGTGAGCTCATGGGACAGGCCAGGGCAGCGCAACGACTCCTTTGACAAAGGGACCATGTACACTCCGCAGGTCCCCAAAAAGCTCTCGCTCTCGGAAAAGAACAAATGTGCCTCCATGGAAGAAATCCTGTCRCGGCGGGACTCTTCCGCGCACCGGGCGGTGCTGAGGCGGGGGCTGGAGGCTCACTTCGCCTCGGCGGAACCAGAGCAGCTCTCCCGGATACAAGAACTGGTTGCACTAAAACTGGAAAAAACTCAGGAACTGCTGACGGAGGTGAAGGGCTATGGGGAAGGCAAGAGAAAGACCAAGGATTCCACCACCAGCAGCACCACCACCTCTTCATCCTCATCAGCCTCCAAGGCAGACTCTGAAAGGATCCTGCAGGAATCCGAGAGGTTGCTGGGAGAGGCTTCCTCCACCTGGAGCCAAGCCAAGAGGGTGCTGCAGGAGATCAAGGAGTTGAGGGACCTGTACAAGCAGTTCGAACTGCAGCAGTCAGACTCGAAACCCAAACAGAGCTCACAGTCTCAGTACAGGAAGAGCATGATGTGAAGGCAAGCCTTGGGATTGGGAGGGAGGGACACGGGCGGGTGGCCRTTTGGACATTTTTTTAATTATTTACAGTGTTCAAAAGAGTAAAAGAGTGCCTGTTCTCACCCAAATGTGCCCCTCCAAGCTTGAACCCTTTTTTTCCCTCCATCACCCCGCCCCGATGAAACAACCTCGTGTTCCAATGAATTCTTTCCATTTATACCTCCTTTTTTAAAAGCACCCTGCGAACTGCGTGCCCCGGCTTCTGTGGTGCCTGGAGGACGGAAGGAAGCAGCAGTTCCCGGGAAGTGCCCCTGCATGCCGGCAGCAGCACGTGCACAGCCACGCCACCGACGCTCCCGCGCTGTATAAGCCCTGGCTTTGCTGCTCTAAACTCCGAGCTGTATCCCGCGTTACAGCTCCCCGACCAGGAGTGTTGTCTTGTTCGCTCGCCGTCCTCTCGGAAACAAACCGTCTCCGTCCCAGCCCACGCTCGGAAGTCCCTGTGATCCAGGAACCGTCTCGGAGACGCTCGGACGCTCGGGCTGACCTCCAGCTTTATGCAAGTCCGAGCCCTCGCTGGAGCGCAGCTAGCCGGGCGGCCCCGGCAGCTCCCGCTCGTGCACGCCGGGCTCGGCCGCTGTTATTGCCGTGGCACTTACAGCCCCCGGAGGGGGCCAGGTATGCAATCCGTGTTCATCCCAACCCTGTCCGTCCACGGAGGCCGCGCGCCCCCGGCCCTGCGCAGGGGCAGGCGCTGGCGATACGTCTTCCGCTCGGGGCAGAGAGAGCATCGAAGCCTTGAAGCTGGCAGAGAGCTCATGGGGGAGGGTGATGGGGGGAGAGGAGTGGGGTTTTTTTCTGGCTTTTCCATTTTCACTCCATTTTTGCCTCTCCCTTCTCTTTGGGCTGGAGGGCAATGGAAGGAGCAGGCTTGTGTGCAAGGGGCAGCGGGAAAGCAGGAGCCAAGGGCGCTCGGTGGGTCRGAGCTGCTGAGTCCTTGCTGCTCCCCCGAGGCCCGAAGTGCCGTGAAAGCCGAGCCTGGAGCTCCGATCCCTCAGCCTGGCGATGCCGGGCGCYCTGCTAATAGGGGCTCAGCTTTCACGCCCTCGAGCAGAAAGGCGAGAGAGGAGGATGCTGAGGTGTCTCACGGGGCTTAAAGGGGTGTGGTAACAGCCAGCTTTGGGGGGGTCTTCTGCTTCGTTGTGTTTTTTAAAGAAACCGAATTCCCTTGCCTACACTGCCAATAATCCATGAAAATATTAAACCCAGCGGAGTTATTTCCCGGTCAAGGTTGGCGTTGTTGATTTTAATGGTTGACCTGCCTTGGAAAGGACCTTGGTTACTCTTGCCTGTGTCTGATCAGCTTTACTCTTCAGGCTCATGTTGTTGATGTATAGTTGCCAGTGCTGCAAAAACCCCCAACGTTTTTGTATTTTTTTAAATTAGTCCTTTCCGCACTTTCCTGTTAGAATTACTAGCAGAAATATTGCTGTTGGCACTAGGTTCCTGAAGATCTCGTGATTTACAAACCTCAAGTCTGGCCCTTGCAACCRTCTTTTACTTGCTCCCGGCTCTGGCCCAGTTCATTGCCCATCTTAAAGGACAATTTTGAAAAGGGATCGGTGATTTATCTCAGCTCCTGTCAGAGCTGCACACTATTGCTGTCCAGGGTAGATGCAGATATTTCAGCTTTCCCACATTTTAGTTCATTTTTCTCTTACCTCTTCTATCTCTTGAAGGATCTGTTGTGATATGTCGGAGGAAAAATATAATCCCTGGAAGAGATTAAAAAAGAACGCCTATGTGAGCCAGTCTGATAACACCCTTCCCATTCAGCTGTCTTTGATCAAAAGGAAAACATGAAAAACATGCAAATAATTTCCAGATGTGATGATCAGCATTAAAATTAGTCTTGTTTTCAAAACAGAAAAGCTGGTCGAAAAACCCGGATGCTCTAATTGCTTTGGATTGGGATGGGTTTGTGTTGTGACTGGTCTTGGGTGCCAGCCCGGGCTTTAGGTCAAAACATAAGGAGAAAAATACACCTGCTTCTGGCTCCAGAGGGGTCATGAAATGCTTTCTTTAAGCAACTAGGTAAGATGAAAACTSATTGGAAGCTCAGACGTTGTTCCCATCAGAAAGTATCCCTTCTGGCACAGCCTGGGGGAAAGGAGCATCTAAGGAAGAAAAAAAACTTCCCGAGCAGAAAAATCCTCTGGCCCCCGACACGGAGCAACCCCAGAACAGAAGGATCCCCTCCCTCCCTCCTAAATACCCATTAGGACTCAGCTCTCCTTTTCTTCTTGCATTTACTTTAATTTCTGTGCAAAGTTCTTGCCTCTGCTTCAGGGCTCGRACACAAATGGCAATTCGGCGTGCGAGCGCCGGGAAGCGTGCCAGGCGCGGGAGCCTGCCACTCCGGCCCTTCCCAGCACCGTTCCTGCTGGAAACCCCTCGGGAAGCTGCGGCTGCAGGGAAGCATCCCCAGGGCAGGACGAGGAGGCTTGAGCCGCTAGCCACGTTTTAGTCTCTTTTTAGCCTTAGAAATGGCTAACGAAGAGCCTGAGCACATAGTGAAGCTGAGCCTTTTTTCTCTTATTGAGTCGCATTTCAAAGAACTGGGTAGGAATTTTTCTTTTTGCTTGTTTTTTTCCCAAACAAGCCAAACTGCAGTAATAAAAGCGATTCGGCTGCAGTTGCAGTGATTTCTCCAGTCTCCTCTCAGCACACGAGGCCGAGGGAGCCGCTCGCAGCGCCGCGGGCGCAGCGGGACGGAGCCTCCTTCCAGCCCTGCTTGTTGCCGGCCCCGGTGGCTACGGGGTGTTTGTGCCAGTGGAGCCGGAGGGATTTAGGGAGCCACCACTGCGCATGGAGGTCCTGCCGGGTGGATGCGCAGCGCTCCAGAGTCCCCAAAGGGCGGGAATTGTCCTCGAATTGCCCCTGGAACCGCTGCAAAGGTTTCCAGCAGGTTTTGGGGGGAGAGACCAGAGATTTCGGGGTCCTGTTCCTGCTTAGCTGCCGTGTGAGCAGGATGCCACAGGTGACACAGCCGGGCGAGAGGCAGTTCCCATTCCCRAGGCGCAGCCGGTGGCTCCTCATGCAGGCAGTCCCAGTGCAGCAATTCCCTCTTGCTTCCGTCAAGGCCTGGAAAAGCCGAGCAATGACAACGCGCCCCTGAGTGCCCTGAGGGCTGTGCGAMGGGAGCCGAGCTCCCCGCTCCCGGGACACCGCGCAGCGGCTCCGGCAGCCGCCCCGGCTTCCCGAGCGCCCCGCGCTTTGCTCGTCTTTCCAAAAGCTCCTCAGCCTTGCCCCAAGCAAAGCAGAAAGGGAAATAAGCAGGTAAATAAAGGGACAKGGGGGAAGGAGTTGAAGGATTTGAAGAGCAAACGCCATCTCCCTTGTGTGCGGCACATGCCTGGGCCTGCAGGGCACTTCCAATGGAAAGGGCAGCCATAGGGAGCGGCGGTGTTCCCAATGGAAAGGCCGGCATGGGGATGGCAGCAKCCTGTGCTGGGGCAGAAGGGGCCAGAGCAGCTGTGAATGCGAAGGAGGAAAGAGTGCCGGGGCTGCCGGGGCTCCCACCTGCAACAGGCGTTGGGATTCAGGAGCGGAGCTGGGCGGACACTGCAACCTCCCTTGCACAAAGGAAATTTCCAGGCGGGCTTCGTTCTGGAAAATGCTTCCCAATTCCTCCCTGAGGGACATTTCCCAAAGCTTTTGATTTCTGCCTCTCTCCTCCACAAGATTATGCAAATGTTGACGACGAAGAGCCATGAACAGCGAGGGGGCAAATCCAGCCGCCCGCTGCCCGCCAGGGCGCCGGGAGGGAGGAGGATCAGCCAGGGACAGCGCGGGGGCCACGCGTCCTTGGAACCCCCGGGACCTTTCCTGGAGCCTGGGAGCGCCGCTGGGAATCAGAAAAGAAGCCGAACGGGAGTTGAGAGCAGTGGGGGGGTCCTTTAGTTGAGCACTGTACAGAAACAGCTCACAACTCCTTCCAAGGTGCTACATTTCTTGCTGCAACTGCTCAACAGAAGATTTACAAACACGATAGAGTGATAGAGATTTTGTCATTGCTCAGTTCATCAGTTTTTCTTTCGGGCTCGTATTTCAGTTTCGCCTTTCCTCTTCTTAAAAAGGGCGCAGGGAGGGGGGAGCGGAATGGATTGTTCCTTTCGGAAAAAACAACCTGCACTGATTTTTATGTACATTGAACCTTGCGTACGTACAGACTCTGGGACGTTGCTCCAGTCTGCTGCAGCTCTGTTTACTTTGATTGATTTTAAGGCTGTGATAAAAGAAATATTTTAAATAAAGGAATATTAAAAAAAAAAAAAACCACCTTTCTGAATGAGTTTTGCATAAGCAAGCTGAGTGATTTTCTGGTGAGTTCCGGAGCCGGCGCCTTCAGCTGCCGCTGCCCCGCGAGCTCCGGGAACGGGCAGTCCCTGCGTGGCCCTCCTGCCTATGTCCTTAATGCAGGTGGTCCCRCGGCGCGAGGAGAGGGGGACGAGCGTCTGTGTGGGGCTCCCCAGGAGCTGCTCCTCATCCTCCAACACGACCAAGAGCAGAGTTTGTGCTCGGGGCCTCCGTCCCTGCTGCAGCAGGGACGATGCTCCCTCGATGATCCCTAGAGCTCCCTTCCAACCTCAACACTTCTGGGACTCTGATTCTGGGACTCTGATTCTGGGGGTATGGGTGATGTTTACAGAGACCCAAACTATGGAGAACGTGCTGGAAAAAATGGATATGAAACACACAGAAACGCATCAAACTGCTCCACTGCATGAATGGTTGGCTCTTAAAGTCTGGGAAATGCCACTGTATTTCTTGGGTCATATTTCAGCATCACCTGCACATGCCAGCTCTCACAGACCAATTTCAAAAAACCACTCCTAAAAACGACACCGAGACTGAAAACACCCAGGAGCTGCAGGAGCCGCCTGCAGGATTCCCCCCACTGCCGGATTTCAGGCTCTGCCCTCAGGTTCTGAAGCTGGGTCTGGCTTTGCTGCCCCGCTGCAGTTTTACAAAGTGTTAGACGTCTGCGTGTCGCCGCGATCCACGTGCACCCTGCACCTCCCCGTCCCGTCTTGTTCTCACTCCTGGCCACCTCTCCTTACTGCTCGCCGGCCTTTTTCCAGCCCTGTGCCCGTGCCCACTCCCTGCTGCTCCCTCAGGTGCCCCCTGCCCTTGGTGGCACTTCCGAAGACACCGGC